AATTCTACCCTCTTTTAACAAATTCCAAGAGAACACATATACATACTCATTCACATATTTTAACATGATATCTAAACTCACATATGAAAATGGGGCTCTGAGACCCATTATTCAAAATCAACAACAAGTGTTTTAATTGGCAAGTAGTTGGATCCTCCAAGCGACCAAGTGACAAACAAACTTGTTAACCCCAAAAAATGTCGCCAACAGATCTCCGACCTCATCTCCTCCAAACCTGCACATGGAACACCCCATTAGGAGGCAAAACTAGCCGGTCGAGAAAAAGGGCCGACCACCATTTGCACTCCGACAATTAAGCAACTGCCGAACGAAAAGAAAATAAATAGAACAAGAGGAGGGGGAGGGAGAGGGAAATTGGCTAATGAAGCCACCAGCATATAGAAAATGAAGATGGGCCGATTGCATCAATAGGCCTCGTCTAAGTCCAATAGTTAGGCCCAATATGCAATCATTTATGTGTGAAACAATAGTCTCCCAAATCCGAGTCATATATTTATATGTAGGTTGAATTTGAAATATGAACTGTCAAATAGGCGATCTCTCGTCTCCCAATGTGGGACCCCCTCCATCATGTGTATGCCATATTATTATGGATATATTTATATGTATAACAATAGTCCCCCAAGCCTGAGTTGTATAGTTATATGTGGATCGGATTTGAAATATAAGTTGCTAAATAGGCGAGGTCTTACAGATTGCTTCAGAAAATATGAGTAGCTCAATAAGCGAGACTTATGAACTGCCTCGAAAAACATGCATCGATCTCAAATGGGTTAGGACCTACAAATTGTCTCAAGAATATGAGCTGCTCCAATAAGTGAAAACTTACGAATTGCCTCAAAAAAATCTGTGCAAGCCTGAATAAATAACGGCTTACAGATTGCCTTAAAAGATAGATATTGCTATAATTTTTCGAAATTTCGACTACATCTCCTCTGTAATATGGACTAAACTAACCTGTAATACATCATAATATTTCCACCGCACATTTATAAAATAAATTAAGATCCATTTGCCCCTTCAAATATTCATAATTATAAAGTGAATAATGACTTATTACATTTCTCCAAGATATGTGCAGAGGGTCTATCATACATCACAGTAAATCATATGCTCACACAGGTTAGAGTATTAGTACTGCTATAGTGAAGCAAGTAACATGATGTTAATAGTAAAATGAAAAAGATGATAACATGGCATACGTACTGACTCTAATGAAAATAATGTATGACATTAGCAGTGATATGACATTCATGCTTTCCAGCAGTAATATGATGCATACGTTAGCAATAATATGTCATAATACTAAGCTAGTAGTATCACAAAGCTTTTATTTTCTTTCGAACGGTTTGTGTTCGTAACACCAGGAAAAAGCTAAATTGTTTCCAAATTTCAAACTATATTTTAATATACCTAAGATATGAAATGCAATTAATTGAAATCAAATGATTTCATTTAAAAACTAACATAAAAACCAAACATATGTCAAGTTTAACAACTTATTAATCATAAATGAAAATGAAGAGGCGGAATTGATTCGAACACTTGTAGTCATCAATCAACAATTTTATTATTCCTTCTTCCCTGAATAGTTCTCTTGATTGTCAACAGAAAAACTAGTAAAGAAGAAAAGAAAATGAGAAGTTAACCGGAGTTTGAGCGTGAGTCAATTTCAAATTGACATTCAACACCATCGGGATCTCAACGAATTCATTAGACAATTTTCAATGAACTCATTGGAGTTATTAATAAAGATGAGGGTCCCACGAATATACTGAAGAAATGAAGATTGTAAAAGGGTAATTAGCACAAAACGTCTTTACCTTTTATGATTTTTGTGGAAAACGTCCATACCTTTCATTTTTTGATACATTTCATCCCTATCTTTACATTTTCTTGTGCAAAACATCATTTTTCTCAATAAGAAGTTATAAAATGACTAATATACCATTCTATTTAAATAAATAAAGAAAAATAAATAGCTAATTGCAATCATAGTCCCAATTTTTAAAAAAGTTCAAAAGAGTCCCAAATTTAAAAAAATAAAAAATAAAATTCTTCACCTCCACCTCCTCCACCACTACCACCACCAATTTTCGTTAACTGCCCTGGCCATTGGAAACTACCCTCCATGCCGACGGCCTCTCACCTACAGCACAATTCAACAAACAACCAATCCAAACATCCAATTTAGAGATAGAAATTGGTGAAAAACAACCCCAATTTTTCGCGCCCTATACAAATCAATTCCACCACTTCGGTGACATTCATGGTCGTCCACTGCCACTAGTCATCTCCCCTTATCTATGCGAATGTCATAATGGATTAACATCACTAAAACATGCTTAAATGTTGCTGAATTTTTTAATAAAACAAGCTTGGTTCGTTGGCACAATGAGGCAGTAGCACATCTTCCAATTGATGGGTCTCAAGCTATTTTTCAACCAAATTGCCACCAGTCAAGCATCCAATAGCTTTATAAGACCTTGGGTGTGCATTCAATTGATTCAATTTAACCTCCAATCGATCCAATTTTTCAAAGCAATTCTGCAAATTCTGCTAGGGCAGATGTGCTTGTGCTTGCGTTTTCTCTTCCTATTCCTCCTCTCTCAGTTTCACACCAATTCTTTTCCAAGAGGACTCTTCACCCGTGGAATCCTCCTATTTTCACTCACAAGGGCCACCATTGACCAAGGATTATTCACACTTGATGAGACCTAGTAATACTTATGGATGTGGTAATGGACCTTACGGTTGCAATAGTAATGTTATAGCTGGAGCCAGCTAGAACTGGAACATTAGCTCCACATCAGCTCGAAACGATGCAGATGGAAATGGTAGGTGGGGTTGGGGTTGAGCGAACGGTGTTTAAATCGGTGTCAGTGGTCTAAGGGAAGCTGTAGAAAAACAACTCAAGCTATTTGGTGTGAACATAGAGTGTCACATATTGTCTTTACAACTATATTGGAACTTTTTGAACTTTTTTTTTATTTGGGACTTTTTTGAACATTTTTTTTAAATTGGGACTATAATTGTAATTAGTTCTTTATTTTTTAAAAAAAAAATTTAAATAGAAAGGTATATTAGTCATTTTATAGTTTTTATTGAGAAAAATAATGAAAATGATGTTTTGCACAAGAAAAAGTAAAAGTAGGGATGAAATGCGTCAAAAATCAAAAAGTGAGGACGTTTTTCACAAGACTCATAAAAGATAGAGACGTTTTGTGCTAATTATCCATTGTAAAATGGATTTCATTTTCTCTCTCTATGTTTATAAGTTTTTGAAATTAGTTAATGAACCTACAAATCCGAGTTAATTACTAAGCAGACCTTATTTGATAAATAAATTAACAATATTAAAAATATTCTTTTACAAAATAAAAATATAATTGACACCTGATTTTTGAATAAAATTAGTTAAGACCTGATAAATGATAATGTAATCTTAAATTCATGGTTTCCTTTAATTTTCTCTAGAGTTATTTGTTAAGACTTGTGATTCCATATTAAAATATTAATCTTATTAAGAGAAGTAGTACTAACTCTTATAAATTTGTCCATGTTTTCATTTTTATTTGATATAGGATTATATCCATTGACATACCCCACGAGATAAGTGACTCTTATAAGCAAACTAATATTAAAATTCATGTGCTTATTTTTAAATTTTAATCAGATCGAATTGCTCATTAAAACTTAATGGCCTCGATGCTTGAAAGGTCAATCTTATTAAGAGAAGTAGTCCAAACCCTTATAATTTGATCTATGTTTTCATTTTTATTTGACGTGGGATTATATCCTTTAACATATTGTGCAACTTATAATTATTTAGTTAAAAAGAGAAATATCATTGAATCGTCTTAATTTGGTTTAAACTTTATTACAAAAATGTTGATCCTATCTGCATTTTTATGGCTTGTCCCACTCTTGAGATAGCTTCATTATTCTTCCAGCAAGCTAATTAATAATTGCTCTTGTAATCATATAAAGAATCAAATTAATTATCAGGTTAAAAATAATGATAATCGTACAATAAAGTTTTAAAAGTCACGAGTAACACAAGATTATACTCAAAATCATATTAATTTCCTAACACGTTAAAGATTCAAATAATTTCTTAAAATCCAAACAAAGAATCATGATGGGTTCAATTCATATTTATTACATTCATTTTCCATCTTTATAACGTGAGCATGTTCGAGTTTGAAAATTATCCTTTTAAGTACTAAAGCAAGTTCTCAAAATATTTACGAAGGTTTTAAAATTAGAAGTAGATAGAAACTAATAGCAAATAAACGTATAACACTGACAAGTCATTTGAAATTTGTGAATAAAAATTGATTCACGTGTTTATAAACACGAGCCAAGCATACGCTAAGTTTAGAAACGCCTACATGGTTGGCAAAGTTTATAATCAATTATAAATTGGTCAAATATCATTTTTATCTTCTGTAAAGCTCACAATTTTACTTATTTTTACTCACTTATTATTCACACATCTTTCTCATGGGATCCAACGCTTATAATCTAAATAATTTTTACCAAACAGGCCGTGGTTTCTAAAATTCTCTTCTTTTTGTGAAAAAAATATTTAATTTCTTAAAATAGAAAAAAATTGCTCACTTGCAACCTATGCTACTAGATTCAGAGTACGTTTGAAAAATAATAGTATAATATTTATGGATTTTACAAAGTTTCTTTGTTGGTAGAAATTAAAATTTTGATTTTAATCAAAGTTAAAATTAATAATTAATTTTAATCATATATTTTATGAGATTCACAATTTTTTATCTTATTAATTTTTTATTTAAAATATACTAATAATCCGATTTTAATATCCATCAAACAAGCGCAAAATGTATAAATGAAAGGCTGGTTGGGAATGCAGCTGGAATTTACCCAAAATGATATTTGATAAAATAAATAATTTAAAAATATGAATTTAATTTGTTTTTAAGCACAAAAAATACAAGAAAAAATCAGTGTAAATGAAAAGACTACAGCAACTACCATTGACAGTTGGTTTGAAAACCGAAGCAAAAGACGACGAGACGCGGACTCTCCGACTCCACTCTCCTCTCTCTTTCCTATTCTTTGTTTGTTGCTTCAGATCTCTGACTTAGTTTCTCTTTTAGGGTTAATTATTTATTATTATATATTTCCTTGCTGTACCCATTGTATAAATACGGGATGCACAAGTGTATATTTACATTTTGGCGGTGCTTATTCACTTGATCGAACATAATTTGTGAGATTTACGTTTTGGATCATTGGCATATTGGATCTTTCGATTTTCAAGGGGTAATGGCGGTGGTTTCTGGACCTGTGACACCGGGACAGGTATGATTTAGATATCTACAATTTTTTTGGTTTGTTTATTTGTATTTTGTTAGCATTATTATTATCTTTTTTTTTTTTTCTTTTTCAATGGCGATGAGTGTGATCTTTTATCGGATCACTGAAATGCAAAATTGGATTTATATGTTGGCTGTAGTTGAATTTTTCAAGTAATTTTGGTATGCAATTTACCTCCAACAAAAAATGCTGTGCATTGGAGTTAGAAATCTATTCTGTTTATTATGATAATATGTAGGTATGAAGGTTTATCACCGAGCAGTGATGATTGGATTAGTCTATTGAGTCTATTTTCATAGAGAAGAAACTGGAATTGAACTATTATTTTTAGTTAGAAAATGTATCCTGTACTTCAAGATCTATAGTGATGACTCAAGAAATTTCATTTATATTTTGCTGTGGCAGTATTTCAATAGAACAAAAATTTCATCTGAGTGACGCCCACTCTGATGGTCAGTATTTGCTTCAATTAGGGGTGGGTGCGGGGGAACCGAACCGAACCAAAATTTTCGAGTATTTAGTAAATGGAACCGTAGGGTCCAAATATAATTATGGAACCTTTCGGGTTCGGTTCAATTCAGTTCGGTTCGGTTCCATTCGGTTCTATACTATAATTAAAATTTTCAACATTTATAACAACATTATATAAATACAACTAATCACACATTCAATGGTTTTGAAATGTTAGAGACTAGTAGACTACCTTATTCAAATGATCGCTACGGTCAAAATTTCGGTTGGCGGAGGTCACAGCGTCGGTCGACGATTGTATAGATTTTGGAATGTCAGCGAGGCTGGGAGAGTCGAGACAATGTTATGCACTTTAGTGTAAGTGTTTAGGGTTATTTAGTATGTTGGATCTTGTTGGGCTAAGAAATGAAACAATAAAATGGGTAATTAGGCTAAAAATTAAAAAATTAGAAATGAAACAAATTATTGAACCAAAAATTTGGATTTAGAAATTGTTAATTTGTTAATTTGTTTAGAAAAATTAAAATTAAAATAATTTGATTTATTCAATATAAAAAAAATTAGAAAAATTCGGTTCTTATTCGGTTCTTGGTCTAGAACCAAGAACCGAACCGTACCCGTCGGTTCTCAATTCAGATACCCGTTCGGATATTTAATTTGACAAGAACTGACGGGTTCGGTTCGGATTCGGTTCGGTCGGTTCGGTTCGGGAGATTTGTCCAGTCCTAACTTCAATGTCGTATCGTATCATAGACATCTTAATATTTATAGTATGGAAAGAAACCAGAGATAAAATGGAAAGGGTAGTTCAGTTTAGACTTTCATGTTTACTCAGAATAAATGCCTCGTATGATTATTTGAGTCCAGTGACAATCTCTTATCTGTGGCATCTTCTACCTTTTGTGAAACCTCAAAACTATACTTCAACCATTCAACTACATATAAAGAGAAACCTTTCTTATGATATCCCAGGTGTCATTTTTGCTTGGAATCATCCCAGTTTTTATTGCATGGATATACTCTGAATGCTTGGAGTATAAAAAGTCATCATCCCCATCTAAAGTGTAAGCTCGTTTCCCCTTTCCGTCCCTTTCCTCTTTAGTTATGGTACATATGGCATATTTGTTTTGAAATTTTAATATACCTACCTATGCAAGTTTAGAAGAAGAACAGCAATTGTCTGTTCAAGAAGCACTCAATGTGCTATGAATCACAAGAGAAAAATCAATTTTTTTATGAACATCTTCTCATACTCTGTGGCTTACTTGTTTGGACAGCAGTCATTCAGATAGTAATCTGGTTGAAATGGAAACTGCGACAGTAAAGGAAGACGACCGGGCTGTGTTGTTGGAAGGAGGTCTTACAAAGTCAGCCTCCACAAATTTGTCCACTCCATCCATTAAAACAAACTTAATTAGGTCAATCTGATGTTTAATATTCAATATCTCTGTGTGGGTTTCCCTTTTGATCATGTTCAATTTGGCTTTCTTACCTTTATTCTTCTTCATTTTCTAGGTTTTTGACGATGGATGCCTCATTTTTGCTTGAAAACCGACAAATTTTGAGAGCGATGTGAGTTGTTTGATTATGTTGCTCGTGTTACATGAAGGTTCTATTTCATTTTTCCTTTAAATGGTACCACAATGTTATGCAGGTCTGAGTTTGGTGGACTTCTACTCTATTTTTACATATGTGACCGTACAAACTTGTTTCCAGATTCCACCAAGGTGCCCTTTATGTTTCTGACTTTTTTCAAAAATCAGATTTTTTCCTACTTTGCATGGAGATCAGCATTACGTTATATTTTCTTTATTGCTATATATCCTAATTAATTTTTGTCGGGCCTTTTCCCTCTCTGAGCAGAGCTACAATCGCGATCTTTTCCTTTTTCTCTACATTCTTCTTATCATAACTTCAGCAATGACTTCTCTGAAGAAACATGCTGACAAGTCAGCATTTTCTGGGAAATCCATACTTTATCTTAATCGCCATCAGACTGAGGAGTGGAAAGGATGGATGCAGGCAAGTATTTTTCTCACAAAATATTCATTGAAAAATGTTAATGATTTGTAAATGAGTAGGACAAAGTTAAAGTGTAGCTGCTTCTTTTATATCGTCCTTCCGCATATTGTGTTTCTTTTGAAGTTACGAATCTTTCTTGCACTTAACTACTATTTAGCCTCCTCTCAGCAGCCACAGAATATCTGTAGTTGACATTCACAATGCACGCCGTGGCTGCTATACACTCTCTCTACACACAAACTTTATCACTCATGCCTTTTTCTTATGTTTCTTGTAGGTTCTGTTTTTGATGTACCATTATTTTGCTGCGTCGGAGATATACAATGCAATTCGAGTTTTCATTGCTGCTTATGTTTGGATGACTGGCTTTGGAAATTTCTCCTACTATTACATTAGAAAAGATTTTAGTGTTGCACGGTTTGCTCAGGTGAAAAATCGCTCCATATTTTACTGTTTCTGTCAGAACCACAAAACTAAACTAGGCACTTTGCTTTTCACAATTTTAGTTTCTTTGAGAGTTCTAATCAGATTATCTTCTTCATGCAGATGATGTGGAGGCTAAACTTTTTTGTGGCATTTTGTTGCATTGTTCTTAACAGTGATTATATGCTATACTACATCTGTCCAATGCACACGCTCTTCACTCTTATGGTGTATGGTGCCCTTGGTATTGGCCACAACTATAATGAGATAAAATCAGTAATGGTTCTTAAAATTTTGATGTGCTTTCTCGTGGTTATCTTGGTATGGGAAATTCCTGGAGTTTTTGACCTGATTTGGAGTCCCTTCACTTTTCTATTAGGTATGTACTCACCATTGACCTTGTTACCATACTATTGCCAATTGATTTCCATTGTTTTATTTTGTTATGCTTCGTCCTGAAAAATATTAATCTTTGCCGAGAGACTACAAAATTCAAGGTGAGACTACCATTTTTGGTTTGAAGCCTCAAATGCCTGATAGTTATTTATCTCAATGACAGGATATACCGATCCTGCAAAACCGAATCTTCCTCGACTGCACGAGTGGCATTTTAGATCTGGGCTTGACCGTTATATCTGGATCATTGGAATGATCTACGCCTATTTTCACCCCAATGTGCTGTCTTAAAACATTGCATTTTTGCAGTTTTTCTCAGTTGTTGAGTTTTTAAATTCAAGTGATTATTTCATTGCAGGTTGAGAAGTGGATGGAGAAACTGGAGGAGTGTGATGCGAAGCGGAGAAGCTCAATCAAAACATTGGTTGTGATAGTCTCCTCAATTGTAAGTCGCATAATTGAACTCAAAATAAAGGAGCTTGATATCTGTTTGTATTTTAGCTGATTTATCTGATTGTTTTATAAATTTCGTTATCTGATTACTTTCTAATGATTTTAGGTTGGCTATTTGTGGTATGAATTTATATACAAGTTGGACAGGGTTACATACAACAAGCTCCATCCATACACGTCATGGATTCCCATAACGTATGTCTTGAAGTTTTGTATTGATCTGTCCTAACTCTTAATTCTCATTTTATGATGTCATATGTGTCCTTTTTGGTGGGAAGAATGTCTATTAAAAAAAGCTTTAACAGACAGATTGATGTGTAACAAGACTTATCCTGAAAGTTTTTTCTAAGATCTCCTTCATTGTTTGCTTTTCTTTTCCCCAGTGTTTATATATGTTTGCGGAATTCTTGTCAGCAGCTTCGGAATTTTTCGTTGACCCTTTTTGCGTAAGTTCTATATCTTTTTTTATTTTAAGTCATTAAATTCATAGCCTTTTCAATTGCACAAGTGGCATGAAATACTTCATTTATGTATATATAATTGTTTGAGCGCACTCTTGCTATCAGATGGCTTGGCAAAATTACTTTGGAAACCTATATTTCCCAGTTTCACATCTGGCTAAGGTGAGTGCACTTTCTTTGTCCTATTTCACCTGTTCGGTTTTGTATTTTAGCTATTATAACGCTATAGTTTCTATCCCTTGTATATTTCTTCCCAGTGAATACTTGCAATTGATCCGGGCATAAATATATTTTTTTACTTGTAAATGTCTATTTTATTCGCTTCTTAATATATGTGCATGAATAGAAACTTTTCTGTGATTAGGCATGTACCATACTATAGATGCAACAAAATATTGCCAATTTTATTTCAAATCTATTCTTTTGCCATTTTACAATGTAGACGCTTAAATCTAACCTGATGAACTTACAAAGAGATCATGAGAGTTGCAAAAATGTCCTATTCTTGAATTTTTAAGGGTTCTGGTGCATGGCAAAACGAACACGAAAATTCAGTAGAAGCTAAAATAATGGAGGTGTCATCAGTTTCTAGTTATACTTGCGCAGGTCAAACATGCCAAATGGACAGCCTAAATGGCTACTTTGTTTGATCCCAAATTATCCTTTGCTTAACTTCATGCTGACAACTGCCATTTACATCTTGGTGAGTTTGAATCTTAAATTCATCTTTGGATTATAAAATACTTGAAGTTACTAAGTGATATATATATATATTTTTTTTCCTTTGACGTTTTCGTTTGCATTTTGTTTACTGGTATAGGTATCATATCGGGTTTTTGAGCTGACTAACACATTGAAGTCAGCTTTCTTACCCACAAGAGACAATAAGAAGTTACTTCACAATTTTGTTGCGGGAGCTGCCATCTGTGGGTGTTTATATTGCATCTCATTCATTCTTCTTCGAATCCCTCATTAACGGTAACTGATTTAAGCCTTTTACTAATGAATTGCACATGATATACACAGCTTATGTACAAGATCCATGTTATTGATTATAGGACAACCTCTGGGTTTATCTTTTGAACTGATTGATAATATGGATGGTATGGGTAAAATTTAGAGATAAAAAAAAAAGAAGGGAGACTATATATTTTGATTGTGTTGGGGCATTGCGCATTTGCGCCATACGGTTTTGCATCTCACAGTCAAAGTTTAGACACTGTACCTATTAATAAATCTCTCCAAGAATGAATTAGTATGAACTCCCATATATCCTGATTCTCAGGATCATGTTCTCCAATAGGAACAAATTAAATTGACTATTAAACTAATTCTAACCTACTTTGAATTACCAGAAACACAACCTAACTTATCTGAGATTGATTTCAGAACATTCTGCATATCATAGGAAAAATAAATTTTTACCCTTGACGAAGAATTACAAAAAGGTATGAATTTCGTCTAGATTATAGAGATCTTCATATAGACTGAGGGCTGATTTGGATGCTTAAGATAATGTCAAAGCCTGAAAATGCTCCCTCTTTACATTTTCTTGATCCTTTGTTTGCCATTCCTACTATCCCTTTTCAAATACTGAGCCTGTACTTCTAACAAAATGATCTGATATGGTTTGCAGAGATGAAGAAAAATATTTTGGTGAGCTTACACGGACAGCAGGGAAGGTACCGGTGAATGAGTTGGTGGAACATCACTTGCCATTACAGCCAAAGAACATATGTCCGGTCTTTGTGTCTGAAGGTAGACAAAGCAAAGTAACACAAAAAAGGGGAACATTTTGTTTGTGGGCTTTCCACGCTTGTATTAGTCACATCCTCCCTCATAATCTCGTGAGTTGTTAATCCACAATGTAGAGATAAAGAAATATACAGGAACATATTTTGGATAATTATTACAGCCACTTTTCATGGGTAATTTGATATATGAATGTGATAGTATTTACATTTCGATCGGCCCCCATTAGACAATTTTACCCTAGTATCAAGTTGTATCTTTCAGAACAAAAAAAATAATAATAATAAATAAATAAATTGAAAAAACACTAATGTAAAATTGAAATTCTTCTCCTTTTCCACCCACCTCACCTCTATCACGACAATTATAGTTATCGCGGATTATTTTGATGTGAGCTTGGAGATAAAGAAGAGTTCCATTTTTCGTGGTTATTTTTTATTTAATTTTTTTTATTTCAATGTAAGTATGAATCTGTCTTTTTAATAAAATTTTAGCTTGTTAGCTTAAGCTATATATATTCACATCATAGTTTTTAATAATTGGACTATTTTAATTGTATGAAAGGTCCATAATCTTTACATATTATCATATTTATGTCTCAAACTTTTTTCATCACATTCTTATTCTCAAATTAAAACAAATTGTTCCTGATTATGATTTTTCTTCAAAATTTTCTTTAAAATAAAAAAATAAAATAAATAAAATAAAAAATAAAAAATAAAAACTCATTTGTTCAATTGTATTTTTGAATAAGCAAAATAAATAATATTGCAAAAATGTGACTACATATTTGATCTTTATTTCAAAGTACGTTAACAATTTTTTTGGATGAAATTCAATATTAAGGATAAAATTCTCTGATCAATAAAATATTAAAAATAAGAATGTGATAAAAAAAAAAAAATAAAGATAGAAGCCTATGTTAGGCTCCCATTTTTTCAAAAACTAAAACTCATTTTCAATCACATTCTTTCATAAAATAATATTACATATAAATTGATTTTATTTTTTTTATTTTTTAACCATGCATTATTCAAAAAATCACTATTTCAAAATTCATTTTCTCCCAAAATTTCATTAATATGTAGAGCAACAATGAATAAAAGTTAATGACATTTAATGTAATTAAAATGTGATATATCTATAATAAAAAATAAATAAATAATGTATTGTACAATTAGCAAAATTCCTTGAACTTAAAATGTCCCACACAAAGCCAATGTGGATCCCACATTGCATTGCTGCTGATATCCAACACGTGCCCTCTATCCCCATTCCACCTTCGTTTCCTTCCATTATGATGTACCGTAAAAAGATTCAAAAAGGGGTCATGTCATTTTGATCGAAAATTATTGATAGATGATATCGGGTAACCCTGTCATATATTTAATCCCACCCAGATATGTTTGCCGGCGAGATAATTGTCTTTTCAACATAACTGCCAAAAGCGTTCGGGACTAAACCTACCGCTAGAAAGAAAGCTATCATAATACCTATACCTGCTGCCTTAAGCACAGGGCCACTAGCTGGGATTTTGATCTCTGCAAAAGGATGCTCTTTCGCCATTGCCGACGTTACCGCATCGGTGGAGTTAGCCCCTGCTTTTGCTTAAGAACGAGTTACCGCCTTTCTCCGGCTACTTCTGAGTCAAGTTAGTTTAGTTCAAAATCGTAACCACCTTCGACTGGTAAACTATAGCTTCAGTCTTGTCCCTCAACTTCTTAGTTAGAAGTGGATGTGGATGAGGACGGAGACCACTCGTATTCTTTCCAAAGCCTATTTGGTTAAATGGAAATGTACCCGAATAGAATCCCATGAGCTTTGGTGCTTTGCTTTTGTCAGTCCCCCCTCTTGGGTTAACCCCTTACCTGATGGAATAACATAATGTGAATTGATAAGATATGATTAAATAAAAAAAGTTGATTGCATTTAAAACAATTCAAGTAATAGTTGTATGGTATCATGTTACCACTAGAGAGATGAGAGGATATAATTTAGGAAAATGCTACTTTACCCGAAAATATTTGACACCTGGGATAATCGATCCTCACAAAGTGTGCGGGTCTCACGTGAATTAAATAATGCTCGATCCTCGAGGTATGTGTGTTCGGTCATCTCATATGTCAACCATTATGTTCCTCTAGTTCGATCCTATAACGAATCTATTTATGGTACATCATAATGGAAGGAAACGAAAGTCCTATAACGAATCTATATACGGTACATCATAATTGAGGTGTGTGTTCGATCATCCCCTCTATCAGTCATTATGTTCTCCTATCTCGATCCTATATAGAATCTATTTACTCTTCTTGAACGTCACCCAGTCAATAAGCAGTCATTGGTCCTAAGCAACCGTTAAATTGTTTCCACGTATCGAGGAACACTCAGTTTGTCTCTCACAAACACTATCTCACCGTCTATGTGTGTGAATTCTCTGTCTCTGTTTTAGTTTCATCAATGGAAGCGAAGTTATCAACGTGTTTTCTCAACCGAGGATGTTATTGTTGGGGAAATTTACACCCATTACTTGCAAATTATATTCACAAAAGCATCCGATTAGTTGCGTGAAATCGAAACGTAATTTCGACTTACCGAAATAGGATTTGAGAAGTAAAACATAAAAGTTACCGAATCAGAATGCATGAATATGGATTCATCCATTTCGATTCTTGAACGAAAGCAAATTATTCTTTTGATTGAACTTTGTAACATAAACGTGTAAACAATGTTAATCATTTCCCAAAATCAAAATATAATCCAAAGATATCAGAAAACTGTAGGAAGAAAGATGCAAGTGATGAAGTTTTGGTCGAGGCAAGTGTTTGACACTTGGTCCTTAAGATGAATTTGCCCCGCATCGGTGCTAACGATTTTTCGACAATCATCTCCCAAGATACAACGACCACGTCAACCATAGGAGCACTCCAAATGATTTCGACCAATGAACTCGAACGAAATCCCCTCTCTACCAAGGGAATGCATGAAAATGCTATGGAATTTAGAAATGAGAGAATTGCAAGAAGAGAATGAATGCTCAATGCAATTGGTGTACCAAAAATCATGTCCATAAGGTTCTATTTATAAATATAGAACGAGTACAAATGAAGTAGTGTGGGCCAAAACATGCATCCTTTCAAAAAGTTGCAACACTTGGCCAAAAACCTGCATCCTTTCGAAAAATTGCAACACTTCATTCTTCCAACTTTGGACCGCAATTTCTCATTCATCCGGAATTGATTTCAATATTTCAAATATATCACGACGATCTACTCGACGAGTAGAATAAGTTGGTCTATTTACTTTTGTAATTTGACTATCGGATCAAGTCCAAATATTTGGTCGAAATTGACACATAGTCACACCTTTTCATTTTTCAATTTTTGGTTAATTTTTGAATCAATTCCAATAATCCTCCACATGAATGGAAATTCGAGTATGCAAATGTAGTGCTATGATGTGATGCAAGTAGAGAGAGAGCAGAAAGCCATTGCATCGGGGATAGTAGCTTCTGGCCTTGAACCTCCAATAGTGAAATACCATCGGACTTACTCGGCTAATCGGTGAACGTGATGTCTTGAACAATTCAGCCTTTAGTGTGAGCCAAGACAACGATACTCACACAGATGTCTTTCCTAAAGCATTCATGGTTCTCATGAATTAGTTCATTTTGACCCTGAATCCTTCTTAGTTCTGCGAGTGTTTAGAGAATTTAAGCCTTAAATAATTCTCATTGAAGCGGCCCCACTTCACACTCACATAGGTGACCTCCTATTAAGAGTATTCTGTCCTACTCCACTTGACTTCTTCAAGAAATATGAATCATTAAAAGATTATCTTAACCTCTTGCAACTTTGCAGAAAGCACTTTAATATCATAGGAATGAATTAGGAAATTATTTTCTTTAGTGCTTCGTGGAATCCCCATAACTTAGTTGTCCCTTTGAACCAAGATCTTGGGATCGCCAGTCAACAAGGTAGGGTTACCATTACAAGGACTCTAACGTAGTAGGCTTTACCTCATTCCCTTCGATATGCAATATTCTTGATCTCTCTTAGTAAATCTCTTTAAAGGTACCACGAGTTTACACTATTGAGATTATCTGCTTAATGGTATTATGTTTATGACTTATACGTCTAGACCTACCATTACTTGTGACTTAATATCTTATCAAATATAGCTAACCAACGATCGATTCATTTGATAGATACAAATTTTTGCCACCAAGAAATCCTCTAAAACTTTCTCAATTTCTAAATACGGTTAGAGGATTTCTATCAAACACTACACTAGTCAATCACTTTTACTAGTGGATTTCAAAATCATGGGTATTCAATATCATCATTGAAACATTACCATGCATTTGAACTTTATGAATATTCTTCATATATTCCAATTGTTCTTTTATGTCTAAATAAACGCCATAATCAGATTTACAATCCATTTCATCCACTTTAGACTTAGTATATATCATCCTTATAATTAGTATAAGGGTTTTCTATCTTTCCACATTCATAGCTATCGTTCTATGATTATAAGATAGAAGCAAATGTAACTGTTAAACTGAGTTACTCCTAGAATTCCTCAATTAGGAATACATATGCAATCTAGTAACGTTGCATCCATAAGTTTTAAACTTTTCATTTAAGTTCACGAGCATTTATTATAATCCTTCACATCTTTGGGTTACAATTGAACTTAGGGTTTAGCAACTCTTTCATAGTTCAATTTATTTATCTCTTATATAATATCCATATCGAGTGCTTCGTGAAAGTCTAAATACTTTCAAAGTAGTGGTCTTCAACTTGCATATAACGTACTTCAATCTAATTAATTTGATCATCCAAATTAAATCAAGGCCATCAAATGGACCAACAATGCTTTCAAAACATATACCAACTTAATTGGTTTCATGATTGAAGTCAAATTCAACAATAAAGAGGGCTAAGCATTGCAACTTTTTCAAACATATGCAATATATCACATTTGTGACATTTCACATGATAGTTTCATTTCAACCATCGGTTGAAAAGTTGTGTTCTCAAAAGACACAATCCTACAAGAGGACACATCTCTTGAATTAATCTCTATAAAGAAACACACCCATTGGAAATTAATCATACCAAAAGTCATGGTTTTTCATATGAAAGGATGCACATTTTCATCTAAATTTATCATAAAATATTTCATAATATTCTACATAATTTTCCACCAATTTCAAGTAATCAAATTAGGACAAATTATATTTTCTCATATTTTTATGCAAATATAATTTTGTACAAATCATCCCATTTAATTTTATTGAAGTTAGAAATTTAACTAAATCATCACATTCAAACTTTTCCAGATTTAAAGGAAGTTCAGCAATATTACCAACTTTAAGCACAGTTTATGCTCTGCAAAGTATTTTCATGTCTTAATATTTTTGCAACAATTTCCACTAGAACAAATCACATTTTGTCATACTTTATGCAAATATAACTGGCATAAAAGTCATCTCACTAAATTCCATAGGATTAAATGAGCTTATCAACATTAATCAAAATTAGTATAATTTCAACAAGATATGAAAATTTAACCAACTAATTTATCATGTCTTATTTCATATTCCAATAAAAGAATAGTCATGAAAGTTCATATACTTTCATCAAATAATTGACATCCTTATATGTCCAATGATTAGGAATAATTTCCTTATTTCCATCCATTCATTATTAGACTCGAGTTGGTTTTAACAATATCCAATTCATCATGACTAAAGTGAAGGAATAGCAACTTATATTCTAAACATTTATACATCCATTGTATTCCATTTATAGGAATGTCCACTTCCATATCATAAGAGATTGCAATCTCACATAGAAGAAAATGGTCACTTACAAGTTCCCAAGATGGACATTGTATAGAAACATCATTTTTTTTTTCGAGGCTAGCAAAAAAATTTCACAAACTAGAATGTTCAAAGTATGGCAAAATGTCAAGCGTAAATCCATTGATTCAAATTTTAGCAACGTACGCATTTAATTATAGTCACACATGCTATCTGTCTTTCCAAATATTTATAGTCACACATGCCATCTATCTTTCCAAATATTTTCATGAAATATATTACCACATGCATGCAAAAATCTGCACATGCTCAAGGAAAAATACATATGCAAAGATGAAGGAAACTCTATAATTACAGTTATCTTCAAACGTCTCCATTCGTATTTTCACATAATATTGGGTTCCCATGCACACAGCGATTCGGATTTTATTTCTGTTTTATGATACAAATATAGCAGAATTTCAAATTGTTGTTTTTGAATAGAACCCAATTTGTTCCCTTAAGTGAGTAGTACGATTGGCAGATTCGAAACAGAATATACAATGCACAACGAATACAAAATTCATTTTAAGATTGTTGGGGAAATTTACACCGATTACATACATATTATATTCACAAAAGCATACCGATTATTTGCGTGAAATCGAAACATAATTTCGAATTATCGAAATAGGATTTGAGAAGCAAAACATAAAAGTTACCGAATCTGAATACATGAATATGGATTCATCCCTTTCGATTCTTGAACGAAAGCAAATTATTCTTTTGATCGAACTTTACAACATAAACATGTAAACAATGTTAATCATTTCCCAAAATCAAAATATAATCCAAAGAAATCAGAAAACTGTCGGAAGAAAGATGCAAGTAATGAATTTTTTGTCGAAGCAAGTGTTTGACACTTGGTCCTTAAAATGAATTTGCCCCGCATCGGTGCTAACTATTTTTCGACAATCATCTCCCAAAATACAATGACCACGTCAAGCCATAGGAGCACTCCAAATGACTTCGACCAACGAACTCGAACGAAATCCCATCTCTATCAAGGGAATGCATGAAAATGATATGGAATTTAGAAATGAGAGAATTGCAAGAGAAGAATGAATGCTCAATGCAATTGGTGTACCAAAAATCATGTCCATAGGGTTCTATTTATAGATGTAAAAAGGGTGCAAATGAAGTAGTATGGACCAAAACATGCATCCTTTCAAAATGTTGCAACACTTGGCCAAAAACTTGCATCCTTTCGAAAAGTTGCAACACTTCATTCTTCAAACTTTGGACCGTAATTTCTCATTCATTCGGAATTGGTTTCGATATTCCAAATGTATCACGATGATCTACTCGATAAGTAGAATAAGTTGATCTATTTACTTTTGTAATTTGACCATCGGATCAAGTCCAAATATTTGGTCGAAGTTGACACGTAGTCACACCTTTTCATTTTCAAATTTTTGGTTAATTTTTGAACCAATTCCAACAGTCAAGGCGGCGATGGGATTAAGTTTAATCAAGTTAATAAACGATTCTATCTTATGCCTTCCCACCGTTTGCTCCCTGCTTCAACGTAATTTCAGGCGCTACAACCATTTTCCTTTAATTTATTTCACTGAATCAGTAATGGTTTTTTATCAAATCAAAAATGATCTGGAGGTGCCGGCAGAAACAATGGAAACTGACTCATTTTATTAATTCAATACGGAAAATTGTCTCAAGTGCCAAGCAATTTTTCACTCAAACGCAATTCAGAGGCTCAAAATTAAATAGATTGCAACACAAGAAATATATTATGAAAATGCATATTTAACCGCTATGAACTAATCCAATTCAAGGTTGAGCTGGAATACTCTCCAGTTTTTACCTCCTCTTTACTTTTACTCTAGAAGGTATGACTTTTCCCTTCACATCCCTTTGAGAGGACAAAATTGCCTGTTTCGTCTTCATTTTGAGTGACTTAACCAACGAAGATATATCCTTTACTCTTTCTGGATTCGATATATCAGGTTGCAAGTCCTTATCTTTGAGCATTTCCAATTTGTTAGAAGACCAAAAATGCCCTGAAATTTGTTGAATATTTATTCAAAATCAATGGAATGATAATGGACTAATTGTTGGGCTCAGTTGTGGAATTGGTAGAATAAAAATAAATTGAAAAATATAAAATTTGATTTTTTGCCTCTGCGTATGCACAATCTTAATTTTATGCATACACGAATGTATTTTGACAAAACCAGAATTAAATTTGCTTATACTATGCGTACGTAAAGTTTATACTATGCATACGCAAAGTGCTAAAAAATAGCCTTTGGCTAGTTTTTCAATTTGAAACTTGAGAGCTGTTTTGGATTAAAAGTTGTCACTTTTTATCTTGTTTTGACACCATTTCGTGATGTATTGATTGAGGCCTATAAGTAGGTGATGAATGATCAAAACAATTGCATTACGAAAATTGAAAACATCTTGCAATCCATACTTTGTTCCAAAAATAATCAAGTCCTGGTTTACATTCATATTCATTCTATCTTCGTGTTGTTCAAGGTTTGGAAGAATTTCACTTTGTGCTTTGGTGAAATTTTTTACAAGATTTGTTACAATTCTTCAAATCATTTGTCGGAATACCCTTAAGTATCTCATAAACACCGGAGAGGGGGAAAATAACGTTTGAAGACAGCGATCCCGCGTTCAAACCTTCACATTTCTTTTTACAATTTTCTGATTTTGTTCCTATTGTTGTCATACTTCTTGTGAATTTCCTTTTTGTTTCTTCTTCATCCCGTCAATATTTATAACAAAATTTGTGTGTGAAGTGTTCCAATAGCATTTTCATGATCACCTTTATTTTTTCGTGCCATTTGCCGAGCATAAACTGCACTCCTGTCATACAGCACAAAAAATTTAAACGTGTTAAGAATTGTGCATCGCAAAAGCTTCAATTATAAGTAAATAGTTGTGTTTGGGAAATCAGAACAACGATGAAGAGCTAATGATAAGTAGGAGCACTGGCCAGGAGGGAAGAGCGGAGGTTTGGGGGGAAACCTTAGTTGACATTTTGTTACATGGATTAGACACATCGAATAGTACTAGCAAAAATTAAAAACTAAAACTTTGTAATTGTGTTGTCCCTATACCAAACGTGCACTATGAAAATCAAGAACTTCCATTGTAACCTTACTGAACAACTTCAGTAAGTGCAAATAAGCAAAGATTTAGTGACAAACTAACAAATATATATACCTTTTGAATTGAGGATCTGTTGGATCCAGAGCAAAAAGCGGTGAGGTGAAGAGAGATGAAAATCGTGGATCATCATAGTCAACATCAGGTATTTTGTCCTCATCAGGAATTTCCTTTCCTTTTTTCCCCTTGCGCTTCTTAGGTTTCAAGTTATAGCCTTTTAACTTGTTATCCTCCTGTGTCATCAGCAAGTAATAGCTCGAGCTTAGCTGGACTAGCTTCAGCTTCTTGGACTGTTTCTTGATTAGGTTTGTCTCTCTTGGTACCTCGAACCTGAGTTTCCTCTTCAACAGAAAATTCATCCGGTTGTTCAGCATGATCATGCTCAGTATCACAACAACAAAACTGTCTTTCTGGTCTGCTTCAAGTTTCGCACCAAATTTGCGTGGCTGAGACTTGGCTCTGCGAACCAACAGAGCAACAGATTCGGAGTGATCAGATTCACCATTTAAAGTGGTTCGACCACGGCATCCTTATGCACACAAGCATAGGCTTCTTCGAGGTTGACTGGAGGATCCTTTCGAAGAAATTCACCCCGAATTTGTTCAAAGTCAGTATCCAGTCCGCTAAGGAAGATATGTACCCGCAAGCATTCAACAGATTTCTTATATGCAACAAAATCATCCGGATCCTTCATAGTAATTTTATCACGGTGGTCTAGTTCCTGAAAGATCTTGACGAGTTCGCCATAATAGGTTGATAAGGGACGGCCAACCTATTTAGTAGAGAAGGCACGCAGGATCAGTGCAAAGATTTGTGTCTCATCCGATCTGTCGTAGAATGCTTTGGCAAGGGAACTCCAAATCTCCCGTGCAGTCCGCAGGCGCAAGTAGCGCTTCATTATCTCCGGTGACATAGAGGTAAGCAACCAGCCTTTAACTTTTTTATTTTCAGCATACCACTTTGCATAAGTGGGATCCGTTTCCTTTGGGGGGTCGTTTTTACCCAGAATATATTCCAGTTTTTCACGCCCAGCAATTTGCATCTCCAAGATTTAGAACCATACATCATAGTTTCAGTTAGAATAACACCAGCATGGAAGCCAGAATTTTCAGATTGGATGTGGATGACTGGGGTGGATCTTCAGCCATATGAGTTCGGTGGTGATGATTCAAAGAATACGGGTTGCTCTGATACCAAGATAAAAATAATAACACTATCACAAATTATTTTCTTAACAATGATTTATATATATATATATATATATTGATTTCTTCCATAATTAAGTCGGAATTCTATACAAGGTAAGACTATTTCTTATTTAGGTGACAATAGTAGAGGAACTAATGTATGCTAAGATACCAACTTGGATGTCAATTCATTCCGTTAACAAGTCTAACTATTTAATCAAATTTACTTCCTATAATCTACTGAATTCAAATTTCTTTCAGATGGAAATTTATGTGTGTTTGTTTACTAGTGGTTATCAGAAATAGAGATGGCAATTTGAACCGTCAAAATCGAAAATCGCAGTTAACCGAACCGAATGGGGTGAAAAAAATCGAACCGATGGTGCAATGGGGCGGATATGGTTTTGATTTTAATGAACCAGTTTGTAATGGTGCGGGTATGGTATTTACGTCGTCGAACCGAAACCGAACCGATTACCCGCTAAAAAAAATTGAATTGATAATGGGCTTTACACTATTTTTATATCCAAATCAAAACAAAATCCCTCCCCTCCTCATTACATCTACCTGACTCATTCGGCCAGTCTACTTACCATTAGCCCATAAAAGCATTAGTATGACAGTATATAAATGCAAACCCTACTCTCCACAACCACAAACTCACGCACAGCTCCATTGCCTCTACGGTCCAAATCGTCGTCGCCTCCGAAATTTTTTTACATTTGTTAGTCATTCTATTACTGCTGATCATGTAAAAACAGAGTTCGATGTTTTTTTAGACGTGCCAATACTGTCAAGGATGAATAGGAATCAACTTTGAATACTGATCTGTGCTAGTAAGACTTGTAGGGAAGAATGCATCAAGTAACTTCGATGCACAACAATTAAAAATGAAGGAAAAGTTTAGTATTATTATATTTATAATATTGTTTGTTAAATTTGTATTTTACAATTGAAAATTAGGATAATGTTTGCATTTACGTTTGGAATATTGTTTGAGTTTGCATTTTCGTTTGGAATATTGTATTTTTGTTTTCATTGACTTTTTTCATAAATTGTTTTATATCAATTTGACGGATGAACTTATAAAAAATAATTTATTTTCGTAGTTATTAACCGAACCGAACCGTGCCGAATCGAGATAAAAATCGAACCGAACCGAACCGATTTACGTGGTTATGGTGCGGTTATGGTATGGTCAAAAATTTGGTGGTGCGGTTATGATTTTGGCCAAACCGACCCATAACCGAACCGTTGCCAACCCTAATCAGAAATAAATTACTCGACTTGAAAACAGAAACAAAAACAAAAATTAATAGATGGAGGCCAAAAAATATTGAATGGGACAAAATCAATTATATGACAGCTGTGGGATTTGAACCCACGCCCTTTCGGACCAGAGCCTAAATCTGGCGCCTTAGACCACTCGGCCAAACTGTCTTATGTGAGCAATTGGTCGATATTGTCTTTCATAAATTAGATAATATTTGTCTTTCATCACCACAAGACTACAATATTTCTATCACCACAAGACTACAATATTTCCTTTTCTTTTTTTGCGAAAGCATAGGTTCTTATCTTTTATCCCAATAGGTGATACTATCAAAGTATCTCTTGCTATTTATAACATGTATGTTACGAATACTAGGGATTGAACCCCAATCTTGAGGATCCTTATCACCCCGCCCCTAAAGTTTTGTGATGGAGATAAATCGAGGGATGTCAGGTCAGAGAACAAGAGCTGTCTGTACACTGCGCGTACAAGGAGTCCAATTTCATGTCTCAGGAATCAAACTCTCACACTGCGGCTGTCAGCAAGACGTGAGATAACCTCACTGCTGTCCTTTGCACCACTGGACTATGCCCCGAGGGGGAGCGTATATTACGAATACTAGACTTTACTCGAAGTTGTATACATTTACTACACTGTATACATGGGGGGAAATTTTCAGTATTAGTACTATTGAAATTACGCTCCCAACCAAAAAAATAAAAGTATGAATGGGTTAAAAGGTTTTGGAAATAAGATGGTCAAAATTTGAAGAAGAAGAATTATCCAAACGAAAGGACCACAAAATTGTCCAATTAATTAATAAATGTAGAAACCTAGAGCTAAATTTCCATTGAAATATACGTTTCACCTAAAATCACGGCACATTTTGAAGTCAATTACTTTAGTAATTGAATCATATAATCAATACAAAATTTTTATAATACTAAAACAAGCTATATTAATATAAATAATCATAAAAATAAAAAACCGTAATTTCATATTTAATATTCAGTTTTAGTGTATGAGGACTTTTCATTTTTGGGTAAAAAAAATAACCAAATAAATGGAATACAAAATGAAACACATGAAATAGCTACTTATTACAGCAAAGATCAAATGAATTTATTTGGGCTATAAATTCTAGCACTCTCCCACCTTTTTTTCAACACTAATCTTGAATTATACTAATTCATCACACAATTTTGCATCCATGGCTAACTCATTTCTGTCCTTTCCAATTCTTGGCTCCTTTCTTCTCCTCTTGTTTGCCATTTCAGGTATATTTCTCCATAATTTCAATTTTCTTGGTTGCCCTCACAGTAATTTCCTTTTTTCTGTCCAAAAAAAAAAAGTTTAAACTGTTAGAAAATGTGACAAGTCTTCGAGATTATTTAACTGAATCATTTTTTGTTATGTCAGGTGGAAGTTTGAGGCCTGCAAATGGACAAGCATCTGGACAGGTAAGTTAAAGAAAGAATATAACAGCAAAAGCAAAAGCAAAATCTTGTAAAAAGGAAACAATTTCTTGAAACAAGTGGGAAATTTTTGTATGAATTTACAGGGAGTTTGGTGCATTGCACGGCCGTCGACATCGGATCAGGCACTGACAGATAACATAAATTATGCATGTGGTATAGTAAACTGTAGCTTGATACAACCAGGAGGGTCCTGCTTTTACCCTACCAGTCTGATGAATCATGCCTCAGTTGTAATGAATCTTTACTACCAGAAAGCGGGAAGACACTATTGGAACTGTGATTTCAAGAATTCTGGTCTCACTGTTGTCACTGATCCAAGTATAGTATTATATTCTCTATTGTACCCTTTTTTTCGTCTCCGTCCCGGCTCCCGTCTCTTTGTTGTCACTTGGGACTTCTTGATGTTAGAAGGGGAAGGGAGTGGATTTTTCTTTTGAAAAGGTTAAAATTAACTTTTAGTAAAAACGAATGTCTTTTAAACAAAAAACTTTATGCTCCTGTTTGGGAACGCTTTTGTAGCAAATTTTTTTACCATTAGAGTGAATGTCAGACTCGTATTAGTTTCAATTATTGACTAGGTCAAGCAGAATGACATATATACCCCTTTAATATTTAATTTATTCTTCTTGAGAGATGGATACTTTTGGTAATTTATTTCTAAGGTAATCCATGTAAAATTTTGCTAAAAATGGGATAAAAATGGATCAAATACGGGAGCTATAGGTATACTCTTTTTCGCTTTGACTATGAAAAAGGGACAACGAGAGAAAGTTTGCCATTTAAGTTTGTTGTTCAAGTTTTGTAAATGGATGGATTCTAATGATATTTGCATTTCTATTTTATTTTTTGTATTTTTAATGATTCTGCAGGCTATGGTGACTGCAAATATCAATATGCTCTTTAAAAGAGAAGGGTTACCACATTTTCTTGGATGGTTTTCACTGCACCATTTTTCGTCGATGTCAAGAAGGCAAAAACGAATCATGTAGCATTTTGAATAAATTGTAAAATCCTAATTTTTTTTCATGGATTGTAACATTCACCTTCAATAGTTCTTGAAATGTTATTTGTATTTTCTACCAGTCATTTCTCACACACCTTTAGGGGATTTTGAGGCTGAAATTTTGGATAAAGGAAAATGGATGGATTAAAAACAGGAAGTAAAACCATTGATTTGAAAAGGAAATTAAATTCACTTCCCTTAGTTTTATTTCTTTGTAAAAAATTCAACCTTTTACTGGATTGAGCGATGGAGTATGGACACTGTCAAAAAGAAAAAAAAGGAAGGTTGAACCCATTAATGGTAATCTCTTCATAATTTTATCCAAAAGAAAGCAAAATCTAAAACTTACTACACTTCTTTCAAAATGCCTTATAAGTTACTTATTTTAATGTAAAATAAAAATTACTTCCAAGAAAAGTAATATCTTTCTCCATTACAAGTACTACAGTTCACAATACAATAGTTAAGGCACAATACACCATGAGGATGTCAAACAAAGCCTAATTAACTGGACCAGATCAGGCTATTACTAAAAAGAAATCTCCTTGAGATTTCAGCGAATCAATTGTTGATATATATACAAAAGCCAAAGTAGTCAGAATCATGCAATCAGAATTCTTGTGGCTCCACTCTGAATCCTATGTAAAGCTTGCATTCACGCTATTTCTCGTCTCGTGCTACCAGTGACAGTCTTGGTCGTATAAGCATCCTTCTCCATATTCTTGCCTCGGGCAAATTATGTAGAACAAAATTTCGACTATGTTTCATATGGGACTTGCTCTTGATCCCTACATTTAAGTAGAACCTTAATCAACTGATAAAACCAAGACATCCACATTGCAGGATCCTTTTCCATTTCTCCAAGCAATGTAAATGAACGACATGTTTGGTACAGAGGAAGGGATACTAGACAATATTAAGGGTCTAGTTTATTAGTTTCTGGTCAATAAAATATATTACCTGAATAGAAATATAGTTTAATAATGAGTGTGTCAATCAATAATTTTCTAGTCTACATATATACTTATAATTCGATTTAGATTTAGTTTCCTTCATTCACAGATTTTGAAACGTACAAAAATCTCCACCTTTCTGACTGTTATGAAATCAATAGGAAGAAGTGTAGTTTCTAGTCGAAAGCACCAAGAAAATCAACTGTGAAGCAACCATTGAAATTGCAGGAAATTTATAAAACCACTTTGTACAAGAGCAAACATTAGAAGCTAACCTGGTTCGACATGCTTGTTGCTGCAGTCCAGCTCTGCGGAGGCAGTGTCACTGAATCGTCTCTGATGAAAGTTATCGTTCTCGTTTCTTGCTCTCGATTAATTACGAGTGGAGGTGGGAGCTCCCTCATTACCCAAAGTACAAAGGCAGAGGGCACTGATGAGCCTGGAAAAGGATGCATGCACACACATTAATTAAAAAAATCTCCATGATAATTAAGTCGACGTTTAACATGGAAGAAAATACCATCACGCGAGATCAGGCATTTCTCTCTGCAAGGAGATAAAATATCCCAATGAGTTAACCTCTATAAATGGGAAACATATTTCAGCATTCTGTTCTAGATTCACTCTTATTAAAATGCAAAATACTCATCTTTGTCACTGGTCAAAAGATTCAAATTTATACCCCAAAAGTCATAATTTTAATCAACACTTTCAGATATCTTTCTCATCATCAGTAATACATTAATTGCTCTTTGATTAAATTGAACAATGCACATCTCACTTGATGGAAGCAGAGGAGAAAATGATGTGCACTTAGAGATGGGATCAACTCGCAATTAGAAGGGCATGCTCTGTAAATCATATGACTATGTTGTCTCATCATACTGACAAATCTATTTTGTAAATTTTTACATCAAGAATAGCAAAAAGGAAACATGGATATACCAACAATACAGAGTCTTCAAGTTTGACTGCATGGCCTTCACAATTCAATGATTCTTGGTTCAACATTCATTATCACATAAAAATGATTGAAATATAAAGGTGCACGTAAACAACCTACTCTACCAAAACAGTTCCTGAACATTGCTGGTTAAATCACAATCATGTTGATAATAGCACTCAGAATTATTTTTTTATTTGAAATGGATAGAAAGATGATATTACCATCTAGACTAGAACACACTATATACGGAAAAATAATGACACAGATCAAGAGTTTCAGTTTAAATCTTTGGATGAGTTAGAACAAATACCTGTGAAATAGTACAGAACCAGTAGAAGAGAGGTATATACACCGTCTATCTCTTCTTGATGCCAATAATAAATCAGCTGTAATATTGAAAATCTTTTCATTAGATATTTGTTGCGTCAAAAACTGGAATGGAAGGGAGCTTGTTACAGAACAAACAGAAAACTTACAGGTATATTTGTAGATATAGTAACAATAGCACTTGATGTGAAACATACAACAGATACAATAGCCAAACCTGCAACCTATACACATAAAATTATGTTATAGAAAACCAATTATTGCAACACAAGTACTTGTACCTATTAAAGCGTAATATCTGCAACCTATAAACAGCAAAGTATGTTGAAGAAAACCAATACCATAAGCAAATGAAGAAATAGTGTGGGACTAGTTGCAAAAGAATAATGGAAAAGAACAAGAAATGACTATTTCCAGACAAACTGAAATGTATTCAAGAACATACATTTCTTTGAAGGAAACAAAGAAACTGCATTGCAACTCTTACCACAAGACTGAAGTGATAAAAGTTCTAAAAGGTAAGTACTTCCAGACTATTGAAATCATCCCCAGCCATATGCATACAGCATCAAAACATAAATTCCAACAGATTTAACCCATTTGGGAAAAACATGAATGGAATCTCACTGGCTCAAGAAATCTATACATCATCAATTTACTCTGATAAGCATGAAGTTACCTTTTTATTTCTATTTTCATAAGCTCCATTAACTAAGCACAATTACATTGAGATTAAGAGAAGCGAAGTAAAGCTTCTTATTTTCGTAAGCATCACAGTAAAATTTCCTGGAGTACAATTGAGTAACTTACTTTCCACTTCTCTGATGAGGCTTGCTCAGATCTCACTTTTCTCATTTTCAAGAACAATATAAGCCCTGATCCAAATTTGGTTCATGAAAACAAACGAGACGCATTAGTTGGAGAGAACTAGAGATAATCATAGTGGAACTCCTACGTAAGAAATAATAATGAACATATTTGTGTTTTGTAATTATGGTCAAGAATGAGTGCTTTTCCAAAACAATTTCAACCCAGAGGTTCTCGAATCATTTTTTTTTTTTAAGGCTCTTTAATTCTTATGCAGTTGAAAGTACGTAGCAGGATGAGATTCAGACACTTGTTGGGCAGAAAAATTTTAAAAAGGAAATCATTTCTGACCAAAAGAATCTTTACTTGCACACACGTTTTCTCAACTACCATGTTTGAAACTCCAGAACTCAGTCATGCAGCAGTTGCCTAAATTGAGCATAGCTATCACCTAGAATTTTACTTGACTCTCCTCTCTTCTTTTTTGGTTATTGTTATCAGAACTTTGTCCTCCATTCTAGTCTCTCAAGAATTATATATAATCATTTTAAGAACAAATTAGAGCACTTTTTTTTTTTTTTATCATATCACATTATCAGAGTGATTACAAGATATGAAGCAGCAAAAATAAATCAAAAAATAATTGATACTGGATGATAAGAATGGAGATAAAAATAATGAAGAATAAGTAGTTCAGACAATTATCACTTTGATGGGCTTTATAATCCAGTACACTTGACAAGTATGATGCTTTCTTAAGCATATTAATGATTTTTTTTCTTACTTCAGTGATGACAACAAATTGTTGGCTTTGGCCTTTGGATTCATTATTTTCCGGAACATCACTCTCAGAATCTTCTTTCCAGGTTTAATACATGCATCATTTTATAGTATGCCAAATGGTTTTACTATAGATCACCACCGGATGGTCAATATCAGATAAATTATATTCATGATAGATGCATGCATAAGATTCTATGAGAATCAGCTTCATCGTAAAAATCAATAAATAGATAAATTCCTGTCCATATGAAAATATACCACTTCTCTCAACCTAAACCACGAGACTAATCTAAATGGGGTTTTCTGAAGCTAAAATTTCAGAAAATAGGAGTGTAAAAAGTCGACAAAAAAATAATTTATACATTATTACTGATAAACCAAAAAATAATAATAAAAAAAAATAAAAAAAATTGGTTAATATCATAAGCGCTCACCATAGCATGCCAAGGCTCCTCCCAGCAAAAGAACAGCAATCGCAAAAAGATCTACATATACCTGCAAGATTATTGCAATTGCACCTTCAACAAAACCAAACCAGACGTACATACACACAGAGAATAAGAAGGTAATATATTTCCGTATGAGAATTACAGGTTAAAAATATATTTTAGTTCACTTGAACAGGTTGCCATTTAAAGACATTTATATTTGTATACAATTCAGCAACAACATATGGACTATATAAATACAAAATGAATTGCTTTGAACATCTTACATCATGTGAACTAGAACTATCCCATTTAGTAAATTAACCATGCAAGATTCATTATGAACAGAAATGATTAACCATTGCCATGTCAAATCTTAAGAGTCTTACTAGCAACCCATCAGCAAGGACATTGCCATGGTTCAGTTATTCATATCCCAATAGAAGCCCCCTCTGTTGTTAGATTTTAATCAGCTAAAGAGCAAACTGTAATTTTTTATTTATTTATTTATTTATTTTGTAATTTCTAAATCTCGAAGGGAGAGGGAGGGAGCATACTGATAACTGAATTACTCAACTACTCATATGTCACCGTACATGCATATAAAAGAGTATCAAATAGTAACATAAAAGGGATGTTTACTCAGAAGAAATTACAAAACAAATATGATGTATCTTATATCTCCATTGAAAAAGTTATACTAAAACTGTATATAAATGTCATCGCAAGACCAAAGGTTCAATTGCAAAGATGCTTGTGTAGTCTGACTTATTATATTCCAGCAAATCCTTTGATAACATGCAGGTATATTTTCTCATAATAACATTCAAAAATTGTACTAAATTCTAAATATTTGTTAGCTTGCATGTCACAATTAAGATTAAAAGGCCAAGTCATAGCATTTGTTTAAAAACATAGGATAATCAGAAGAAACCAAAGGCCCACGTGTGCATGCCTGAGCAACGACTTCGGAATCGATTGGATTCTTTCCCATTCCAATCCAGATTAGCACAGCACATGCTATCATTATTGCAAAAACTATCACAGTAACCTGATGAAAATTCATTATTAGGTAAACTAAAATATGGATGATTATATTATAGGGTTACCAATGAAGGAAAAATGAATGTGTACAAAAGTTTTACTGCTTCAATACCAAAATCACAATTCTTTGCCGGCTTCCCGTACGGATCGCCCAAAAGGAGAAACATCTTCTGCAACCATTGGTATCAGAATCAGTTCTCCTCTTCTCCAGCAGGGCTTCTCGTGGACAGTATCCTTCATCCTCATCATCGTCATTTGACTGGTGGCAAAGGTCAATCCTAGAAACCATTCCAATTGAAGTTTATCTTTTAGTTTCTGAAATCAACAACTTTGTTGGAATTTAGCATTCAAATATGTATAGAACATTGAATTAGCTCTTTAGAGGTATTATGTATGCATCCATTAAATGACAGTTCCACCGTCGCATGATGATGCAGGAGAGTGTGCCCATCACAGCTTGCAATTTTAGTATATATCAGAGACCAATTGTATTCTAGGCTTCCAGAGTTGGTTAAGAAAGTAGACATAGTAATTTAAAACTTTTCCATCATATATAAATGAAGTCACGCATGGAAACAAACTCCTGAAAAACTAGGGTTCTATACAAAATCTAAATTTAGAGCAGAAAATAAAGTTGCAAAATGTTTATTCAAGGAAAACCATCTACTTTACTAGATTGTTTTAATATGCCTTTGTTTGATCCCCATTCTTTGGAAAAAATGAATTCGTCTACAATGTTTTGACATCATTTCAACCACACATTCTTCAATAAAATAATGTTACATGCAAACCCAAAATTTTTCCTTATTTTTTAACCATACTTTTCTCATCAATACACTATTCAAAAATTCATTTTTCCCCTCAAAATGGGCTCAAACAAGGGCTATATGTCTTAAAATGGTCTTCATTAAAAGAACAATGCCAATATGTGTGAATGATTACTGGTAACCTAACACTGTAAATAAATCATGATTGCGATAACTGAATGTCCAAAAATCAATCCTTTCCATGCAAAATTGGATATGAAAAAAGAACTTGTATTTGACATTAACTTTATGTCTTGTGTACTTTAAGAGAAAATATATTGCAATAAACATCACAATCATATAATATATAGTTTTAATATTTGTTTTGTACTTTTTGTTCAAACAGAAGCAAACTGCATATGGTAAACGACAGATTTGACTGTTAAAGACCACTCAAATTTATTATCCAGAATGTAGTGTATTAAAATACATGTTGAAAAACAAAGCATTCAAATTCTCAAGTAACAAAACGAGAACGACTTACCAGAATGACAAGAGTAGAAAAAATGCTGCAACAAACAGAATTTTGGGTAAAGCTGCAAAATTAATATTTCCTGGTTTAAGCAACCTTTAAAAACTGTCATCGAGGACATCTACAGTTCAATAACCAATCAAGAAGGTTGAGAATTAGAATTTGCCTACCCATGACAACAAATCCACAGAAGTTTGACCACCAAAGCCAGCCCTTGCAAGCAGCAACAAGACTTAAAACAAAATAAAAGAAATACCCTGCCAGTAGGAAGTTATATTTCATTATCCATCATGATCCAAAAAAGGACTTCAGCTATCTTCTGAGACGCATTATTGAGATCAATGGCAACGAACAGCTTCAAGACAAAAGGCTAAATAAACTAAATCTAAACACACATGCATAGGTACTGCCGATGAGATTGTGAACATAATAAGGCCAAAAAATATGCAATGTAAACTTAAAGTTTAGG